TTTACTAAGGTTGATGGGACTGAAGCCTCACTGAGAGCCGTTCTTTGTTCTTGTGTACACTGCAGTAGCTAACACATACACACGTTTATTTAATCGCCGAATAAGTAAAAGTTGAATGAACACAAAACATGCTCATTGATTGATTTCGTCTCCTGTCATGGTGGCAAACATCGCAGTGGGGATGGAGGGCGAGAACAGTCACGGTGCTCCTTCTGCTTGGTTTCTTGTTGCGCCGTTGGACAGTGCTCATAGTTGAACGTTATTTACCGTTAATTGCGATGTTTCAGTTGTGGTTTCTGACATGGGCAATATGTGCAACCGCCCAGGGCTTTATTTTTCTAGGGATAGCAGGAGACCTCTGCGGATTGTAGCACATCGATGAAAGCAAAACAGAATGAAATGAGTTTTAATTGATACTGGTTAAATAAATTTCAGCTCTAGGTGTTTTTATGGGAATTTGGATCTTTCAGATCAATCTGAGAACCAATTTTGATAAACTTCATTTTATTGTGTCATGTAGCGCAGGGCGCTGGTCTTGGTCTCGGGTTCGGTGGTCTTGACCACAACTCTGCTATGTGGTTCCTCGATTGCATGTCTTCCCCCCACACCTTCGTTCCATCCCCCTTCAGTTGGATTTCTTTCTAAATAAATGTCACTAATGAAGTTCATGCTACGTTAGGACAGGAAACAAGATGTTCCCATCCCTGAAATTATGATTCATAGAATCACATATCTAATTCTAAACTCTTACAGAGAATAAACACAATAAGAACATGTTTAATCTGTGGCATTGTTAATTAAAATGGCACATTTCTTATGTATTAAAATTAAATACGATCAGTTCACTTAATGATATTAGCGACTCGGTTATGTATTCAGCAAGTACTTTTACTTTTAATACTTAAGTATTTTTAAAAGCCAGTACTTTTTTACTTTTACTTAAGTAAAATGTTAATGTGGTACTTTGACTTTTACTTAAGTACATTTTTTGAGTACTTTCTCCACCACTGGTTTTTGTTTTTGTATCAGGCTTTGTTTTCAGAGAATCATGATCAAGTTTTGCTGCTGCTGGTTCCTTTTATCTCCTCCATGCAGAGAAAAAACTGGAGATTTAATGTCCATATTCAGGTTTCTTAGCTAAATATTGACTCAAAACTTAAACTATCTGGTAAAAATGTTTCTAATGTGGTGAAATAAAACCTTCAAGTTTTAAGATATAAAATAGTTTGTTAGAAAATGCAGTGAGGTCATTTCTACACTGTGATTTTCTCCATTTTAAATTATTATATTACCAGCTGGTTAAAGGGAGGAGATAGGAGAGAAATGATTAGTTTAGGTCTTATTTTCCAGATATAAGTCACTGTGCTGACCATCAACTCCTCTATAGAGCAAAATATTCTAGAGTTAAATGTGAGGCTGTCTGTGTGATGAACCTCGACCCAAACTGGAGAACGAGGACAAACTGGAGAACGAGGGAACATTCCTGCACATCAGAGACAGAAACTCATAAACATCTTCCAGTAAACGCCTACAGTAATTAAAACCTGTTTGTAACTCAGCAGGTGTTTAACTTCTTCATTGGAAAACAGTTGAAACAAACCAGTTAAACAACTTAAAGCCTCCAGGCTAAAAGAGCCCAAAGCTTAAAGAACATTATGTTCAGGAATGAAGGAGGTTCAGGTGAGAATCAACATGCAAAGTTTCTATCAATATTAAACACGATTAAATAAATTAATAAAATCTGTATTTGATAATGTTAACATATCAGACGGTCGTGTCAACATGTGGAGAAACTTCAACATTTCAAGGTTCTTGGTTCAGATTAGAAGCAGAAACTATTATTAGTTTTATTGCTCTTGAGTTTCTGAGCAGAAATTTGTTGGTTAAAATTTTTTATAGGTAAAATTGACTTCAGTCTCAGATCAGCTCAGCCTCCAGGACTGTCAGCAGCAGAAACATTAAACCTGTTGGGGAAAATAAACTACATTTGCTTTACATTGTCCCCACATGATGGCAATGACATAGCAGGATCCAATTAAATTATTGATTAATATGGGTTGTTGCTATGGTGTTTTAAGATCTTGTTCAATGTGCCCTTTTCAACTTTGAGCCCCTGCCCCTCCAAAGGTCTCTGCACGGCCCTGAACCATATAATTAAAATTAAAGCTCATTAGCTGTATCCTTAAAATGTCAGTCAATGGAAATGGAACTAGTGGTTATTGAAACAACTAGATTTTTTACAGGGCAAGAACATTTGAGATTTAGAAAGCCTTGAAACTTTATGTGCACACTAGACAACAGAAACATTACAGTTTAAACAAGATTTTTTTTTTTTTTTTTCATCACAAGAAGCACTGGAGACAAAATAGCTGTGACATGAAACAAGCTAAAAACAAACAAACAACAAAAAAAGAGCTCCCATTCATTTATACAACACCTGACAATGTTTTTGCATTGTTAGGTAATGCTTTGCTCACATGCTGCACAACCTGTCAACACAACCAACCCCATTTAATGAGGAGGCTGCAGGGAGGCTGTGGTGCAGGCTTCTTACCGAGTGGATTAGCGAACGCCGTGGTTAGGTTGTCTCCTGAGGGCACTTACATTTACACCATCAGAGTCACAGTGACTTCATTGTCAAGGTCAAGCAAATGAGTCAGGTGGGATGGCTCACTGCGGGGAGAATAGGCACAACTGGCCTCCATCCGTCACGGCGTGCTCCAGCTTAACTGTGTTGACTTAATGCCACTGAGCCATTGTGGCTCAGCGGTTAGTGCTGCCTTGTCACAGCAAGAAGGACACGGGTTTCGTTTAGCCTCTTCGCGGCATTTTTACAATCTCACATTGCTGGCACGGACTTCACCCAGCTGCTCCAGCTGCTTCTCTAATGTACGAGACCTGCTTTGACAAAGAAGAATAAAAGGGGGGGGAAAAGCAAATGTTGTGCTTGATAATTTTTCATTTGAGGATCATGTTGAACATTTTTGCCGTGGATGCGAGTTCATTATCTTTTTTAGCATTTATTTGTGCTTATCTGACAGAATTGGACAAGATGCCTCACAAGCTGTTTGCTGGCAATTAAGAATATAAAAGCTAATACTTCAGTGTTGCTATGATTACAGCTATATCAGCACTGATATCTAGGGAAAATAAGATGCTTACTGTGTGAGAAACAGTGCTTCCCAATCTTCCATATCCAGCACAATAGTGGAGATAAGCCAGTGCAGCCCTAATTAGTCCAACTGAAGAAATTTTAAAGGCTGAATCTCACCCAGGAGCTGCATAAATGCATAACAACAGAGGAAAAAAAGCATGGAAATATTCCTCCTTTGTAATCAGCATTAAGCTGAAGCACTCATCTGCAGGAGCGTCACACCGTGAGAGAACCTTTCCAAGATAAGCTGGATACACCTATTCAATTTGCTGATTAAAGTCATATCAGAGAGTGCTCCTGTCAGCTGAGCTTCAGTGAAAAGACATAGCTCAAGAGTCTGGGGAATCTCTTTGAAGACGACTCCGTTTCACCACACACCACAGAGGGCTTAATGCTCCGCACAGACGTCGAAAGGAAAAATAAAAATTCTCCCATATCGACCCTAAAATGTTTTCATTTCAAAATGAGGCTGATCACTTTCAAGTGTGATGAAGATAAGCCTCCTTCAGAGTCAGGCAGCAAAAGGAGGTTGTTTTCCATCTCTGTAAGAATCCAGCTGAGGGTCCTCAAAAAAAACCAAAAAAAAAAAAAAACACAAGAGTCATCCGTTTCTCAGAGGGCGGATTGGTTCTCTTGTTCATCCACAACGAGCTGCCAACCCAAAGTTTAAAAAAAAAACGCTCCAGTAACAAAAATTGTTTTAACAACATTGTGAATGTGAATAAATGTTTTGCATAAACTGGATGCCACAGCTTTTTTTTTTTTTTTTGAGGATTGTGTCAGGTTATTGTATAGTTGCTTTGTAACACATTATGACAAGAGTCCCCAAACGTTTCCCCCCCAGACGGCATTACTTTTTGGACAGGAACCTCTTTTGCAGGCTTACAAAAATATGTGAAATATGTAAAACAATAAAGAATTACATTTAAATGTTTTCTCACTTTTATTTACTATTCAATAGTTATTATATTCATTTAGTATAAATGCTGCCTCAGACCTTCTGATTTTAGTTGTCAACAACTTCTGTAGGGGAAAGTTTAATCAAGCAATATATTAGGACTTTACTAATATAATGTGGAATATATGATCAGATAAAAATTTTCATAAAATTTGCATCAAATGACTGATAAGAAAAACAATCATTACTTGGTTCTTTTTTTTTGTTGTTGTTGCTACAACTATCACGGCATTGGGCATGGGGTGGTAACTTCATTCGACAGACCAGGTGTGTACAAAAAACAGCAAACATATTTGATATGCTGGCTTCCAACAGGAGTATTCCATTTCGCTTTCTTTTTTTATCTGCAACTATTTGAGGTCAAATATAATATCTGAGAATAGGGTGAGCATTAGGCACTTGGAAATGGAATCTGGTGACTGAAAAAGGTTCCGACAAACTGTCAGTATATGATACCATCAACTTGACATCAGGCTTTATATACTACAGTATATGCCATCAGTTACTAATGGCCCGTGGCTTTGTAAAATCACCTAGAAGGACACAGATGAGTAGTGCTCAGCTGCAGCTGATAAATGCACTCTCATCCTTTAGGTGTCAAGGTTGGCCTGGTTCCAGAAACACTATTACCTTAACATCCAGCACCTTGTTTATCATCTGAGATGTGACAATTAAAACCCTGCTGCTGTCGTATTATTCATTTGTTTTGATACTTTTCTCATCAGAGACAATAGAGACAAACTTATTTGACTTGAAGTAGTTGGTGTTCTGCAGAAATTCAGTGCTTCACAGTGCTGTAAAAATAATTGTCATGTACAATATAAGAACAACAAAAAGTATTTCAACGACAGAAGAGCTGTGTGACATGTAGCTGAATTGCTCACAAGAGTTCTTATAATAAAATATAACTTTATTAAAATAGACAAAAGGTTCTTAAGCCTTTTGTTGACTTTAGAGGTAATGGTTTTGAAATCAGTACATGTATACTGTTTTGTTTTGGTTTTGTTTTTATTACCTTCCCTTCCCTTAATGGATACATTGTTCCAGTTCAAATGTAATTCAGTACTGAGATACTTTACAGTCGATATTAACAGAGCTCCCAGGTATTATGTTCTCTTTGTATTTGGACGAAATCGCAGAGTAAATTTGGCGCTTATTTATTAAAACATTTAAGACAAATTTTCCAGAAAAAATATTCAAGATATTGAAACTCAATAGGTTGTGTGATATCTACAAATCCGCTTCTTATCAATTTTCCAGTGAAACAGCATGTTTTGTCATAGAAATAGATGTGTGTTGTTTACAGACTTCCGGACAGTATAGAATATGAAAAAGATGATAAAAGCATACATTGTAAAGCTGTATGGTCTCCATAGATTCAAGGGGTTTAGAGACCACAACATCCTACTAATCACTAAAATCAAAGAATACTCTGAACTAATGCTTAAAAATGCTTATAGCTACCAATTTTAATTATAGGGATCCACTGCATGAATATTTAATTTGAAACGGATTAGATTTGTGTTGTTTTTTTAAATATTCAGCATGCAGTGGTTATATCAATGGTTCGATCTGTTAGATTTTACCACGTGTATGTCATAAATATAATAGCCATTAATTGCTCATGCATTCAGTAGTGCCAGATGTACTTCATGTAAGATCTACTTCAACATTAAACCTGCTTACTAATTATCAAGCTCTTCTTTTTATGTGCATTTTTGCAAAAGATAGTAATAGAGCACCATGATCAGTCAAGATAAGACTAATTTGCTTATTCTGATAGAAGCAGGTCTCTATTACAGCTGATGCAAAACTACATTACCATGATGTTGACTTTGACACCCTTCCAAGATTTTCATCATGTTCATGAAAAACATGCAGGCTTTTCAAAAACAAAAAAAAGATAAATTATAATAGATTTTGATATGTTATTTCAGGGCAGAGTCAAGCTATGAGGTGACAACCTTGAAGCAAGAATGAATGAAGTCTTGGTGGCATCACAGGATACCTGTCAGAGTAATTTATCGTCATGTGAGGAAATGGCAGGGGGATAAGAAGGAGGCAGAAAAGTCTTGGCAGGGGTCACTGGAACTTGGTCTCATTGCTCTAATGACTGGCTCTCAAGGTCCCAGTTTCAGATGGTTTTTGTGTGTCTGGACTGCAAGCTGTTGACTTGAGACTCTTGCTATTACAAAAATAGGAGATGCCAGTTTGAAGCATGGCACTCTACATTGTGCAATCTAAAGTTGGATGAGATTGTCATGACTGAAGGCAAAGGGGCAAATTATCCTCAGTGGAAGAAAATGTGAGTAGATGCAAATCACAGCAGGTATATTCCTGGCATTTTCTCCTGCTTCTAGGAAATAGATTATAGATATGTCCTTGGCTTTGGTCTTGATGCATGCCAAGACCTTAATTGATTTTGTCAGATTTTACACATCTATATATCTGCAGGACTTGTGGGTTACTTTTAAAAAGTTACATGAAGCTTCCTTAGGTCACCTAAATAAGCGTGATAAATTAGCGAAAGTGGTGTCACTTGAGGCCAAGCTGGTTGGGTAAGAAGGCGACAAGTTTGAAAATAATTGCAATGGATATTAAAGTTACCACAGCTGGAAGCTCATTCTTCGTCATGCAGGTGCAGCTAGGTGTCAGTGCACATGTACATGGTCGCGAGTAGCAGCGAAAGGGCTTTAATGACTGCTGTGAGCATCTTTAAGTTATCAGCCACTAGCAGGCCAATCCTTCCTGCAATTTTCTTCACAACACCGCTAAAGCATGTAGGGTCTGGGTAATGATGTTTTCACCATCAGAACTCACGTTTCATGCCCTGCGTTTACACTTGTTTCAGTTCTAAAATGTAAATACTCAAATACAGATTTCTTAAAATGAATAAGGACTACTATCACAACCATGGCTGCAGCTGCCAACTCTTGACTCAACTCAAGGCTTTTTAACGCCTCAGTCAAACGGTTCTGTGTTCGGATCCCAGCCTGAAACATTTCTGCTTGCAGTTTGCATTTTCTCCCCTTGCATGGGTGGGTTCTCTCTGGGCACTCTAGTTTCCTCCAAAAGTCCCCAAAAAAATGTGTTTTAGGTTAATTGGTCACTTCAGATTGTTCTTTTGTGTGTACAGTGTGTGGCAGTCTGTCCTCTGTGACTCTATGTAGCCCTGCGATGGACTTGTGACCTGTCCAAGTTGCACTCTATCACCAAGTGACCCCTGGAGACAGGCACCAGCCCCACTGTGATCCTACAAACACAAACAAGTAATCACAGTGGATGAATGGATTTATATTATATATATATATATATATATATATATATATATATATATATATATTATTTTATGGGATAATATGCTGGTAACCTATCTTAACTATACTTTCTTTCAGGTTTGTCTTCATTAGTAAGCTCATAGGTTGCAAAAGAACAAATGTAATTTTACCTGTGTTGGAAATTTGGGTAATTCTCCTACTAAACGCACAACAGAAGCTTTACTGTGTGATTTCAGTTGTGTTGTTTTCTACACAGGCATCGGTTTTGTTGTAAACCAGGTTTTCGTAAATGTCACACATGCTGTAGAAAGCACTTTGCTTAATCTACTGTGCTCTCACACTCCCTCGAGGTTCACTGTTGAGATTTTAAAAGCAGACACTTTTCTAGGTGTGGCTAATAACAGTGATCACGTCCACTTGCCTGGGAGAGCTTACCTTTTTGTTCTTAATTATTATTGTTGCCACTGTATTACAAAAGTGACAAAGAACTTTATTTGACTGCAATGGTTGTTTTCTCCATGTCAGACATCTTCAAAAGCCTTAAGATTTTGAGCCGCCACTTTCATGGATTTGTCATTGTGGTTCTTTGAAGAGAGCTGAAAGGATAAAGTGGTTTCAGTTGGGTCAGGTCGATCATGCAGTGTGAGCCCCAGAGTACATTAGAAAGAAAGAGCTGAAATAACACTCTCAGAGTGCCCAAGGAGATGACTGCAGTGCCACGATTGCCCAGTAGTGCTTTTGCCTTGCCCTGTGGATCCCTCAGGTTCATTAAGGGGGTTTAGGGGTTGAAGAGGCATCTACTCCACTACCAACTGTGATGCATGGGGGAGGGAGAAAGTGGGTCGGGGCGGGGGAGCACCCCACTGAGAAAACATGATTGGAGAGGAAACTATTTGCAGAAAGATGAAGCAACCTTGAGTCCATTGCATTTTTTAAAAAATGTATTTTTAAACCAACCTGCACATTAAAAGTTCTCATTATTTTTATGGCCTTCTGCATGTCAAAGCAATACCAAGGACACCGGAACCACACAGAAAATGGCACATTTATGGTTACACTTGGATTTTAGACTCGACAAAACAGCCTCCAGCTTTGTGTTGTGAGATTCAGTTTTTCAAGGTCGTCCTCTTGTTGGGTTTCTAGCCATCTTGAAGTGCTTCCCACACACCCTGAGCCCTGTTGGCTGCTTTTACATCATTCACAATATGTGTTAATGAAAAAAAAAGAAAAACCCTGTAAAGCTCAAAAGACTATTCATGAGTTTGTAGAGCTGTGCTGGTTTACCACTCCTTCCTTTTTCCTTCCCTTCTTCCTTTTCTTATATATAGTAACATTTAAAAATATACACATCCTTTTAACATGCCAGATTAAAAGAAAACATAAACATGGATCAATATCCTGGTTGCTGCCCCCTTTTGCACTAATATTTTGTTTCAGTTTTCAATCTGCTTTGGTCAACATTTAAAATCAGTTATAGTGAATCTGATAAGCCAGCATAGCATGTGAAGATAGATTTCTTCATGTGATGATAACTCCTGTATTCTCATTATCTCTGGATCAAGAAGAAGGATTACAAGACTGGCTCAGCTAAAGTCTCCCAAATCCTGGAAGGAGAATGTGTTTTGGTCTGATGAAACCAAGGATTTCATGGATTTCAGTTTACAATATCACAACATACATGCACATCAAAAAAAAAAAAAGCATGACTTCACCAGAATAAAAAAACTTTATAAATAAATAAAAAGTTCTGAAATGAACTAAACGAAACATGTCAGTAAATCTGTGGGTTCTCCTGAAGAGGGCTGTGGACAAAAGATGTTCTCTAGATAAAAGTGGCAGATCTACGGTTGAAATGGCAAATATGTTGAGAGCAGTGGGTTTAATGTTTATTTGAGATTAAATTTAAATCCTTCCAAAACTTACTGAGCAAAGCATTATTTTTATCTTGATGCTAAAAGCTATAGTACTGGAAAAGAAGTGCCTTTTCTGCTTTATTTACTAGTGACTAATTTCATAAAGACGGAGCCATCATGTCTATTGGTAAATAAAACCAACTCAAAATGTCAGTTTGACTATCAGATTCAGATGAGGAAAGACAGCGGGATTTCATGAGAAAGTAGGGAAAATAAAGTAGATCACTTATTATGTTCCTACTATGTTCTACAAGTAAGATTAAATATATTAATGAAACCTATCTATATTTTAAAAATGTTTTGACAAGCTTATTTGACTTTCTGTCAGCTCTGGGATAAGCAGAAGGGGGATTTTATATTCTCTACTCACATGTTTGCTTAGTTAAATGTTACAGTATAAATAAAAGGTAGAAGAATTTTAGAGGTAATTTTTTTGTTACATCACCAAAAATATATTTTTCAGGGTGTAAACATTTGACATTCACTGAATGTAATTCAGTTATGTGTCAGGTTATTAGAGTTTTTAGCTACGTCTAGTTTTTTGTAAAATATATGAATTATTTAAATATATTATAAATATGTATTTAAACCTTTGAATGATGCAATATGCTATTTTAAAACCGATCAAAGTTTCACTTTGAACATTTTTCTAACGTGGTTTAAACGTCTTAGACTATATCTTAGACCTGGTTGAACCAGCAGTCAGAGGTGTGTCATCATTTAAAGTAATGGCATGCAGGGATACCAGTTTCATCTGGCAGTTGGCAGCTGCAGTGTGGCAAGAAAACATTCCCCTTGGCAGAGAGCATGAGTGGCTCCACGCCTGCTGCAAACTTGGAATTCACAAGGGATAGACTAGGTCTGCTAGCACTTATTCAAACCTCCACTTCCTCTGATATTCATTCAATTTAAAATCCAGCTGAAATCTGACAAAGTTCCATCAGTCTATGTGTCATAAAGAAAGTAAAAATAAACTGATTAGGTTTTTATAGGTCAAACAATGTTAAAAATTTGCTTTCACTAAAAAAAAAGATGTAATGCATAAAATAAACGTATTATTAATAACCCTGAGAAAAATATTGATGGAATAGATAACAAGATTCCTCCTTTTTCTGATGGACAGCAACACCATACATTTTTAATATTTTGTTTTTATTTTTTTTTTTTTTTTGCTTTATTTTTGATACATAAGTACTATGGGCATCCATGGTTTTGCAATAAATTGGCAAACACTACTTCCTTCATTTCTGCACTGGTTTTATGAAGCAGATTGCCCAGAATGCATGCAGACACAAACGCATCCATCCCAGTTTTTTGCGTCTTGTTACAGTTGTCCTCTTGACCCACAATCACAGCAGGTGCTGAAGTCAACACAAAGATAACTTTTAGTTTTTAATTTTTCACTTCAGTTGATAGAATCTTGATCCTACAGGGCAAGCTTTTCATCAGAAATTTAGAAATAGTATTTGACTGTGGGAATCAAATTGGAATGGTGTTTCTAAATCAATAGGTGTGCTGCAGACGATGAAAGAGGGTGGAAAAATACTCTGTTGAGTTGATTCATTTGGAGATGAAAAATATTGATTAAAGTTAGATGTGCATCATGATAGTAAATAGATATGCTATATTATCTTGCATTTACATATAAAAAAAAGAAACCTTTTGCAGGAAGTTGCATCCTGTTTGTATCAATAAAAGAAAAAGCATCTGAGCGCTTGCTTGCCACTCTCTCCCTGGTCAGTGGCATCACCCTCTGCTAAACAGCCGACTGTTAGAGACTCATCACTGCATCTTACCCAAGCTGCAAGATATGGTTGGCTTGTCTTCACCGAAGATTAGTTGATGTGAATTGTTATTTGTAAGAATATCAGACAAACCGTGAAGGAAAAGAGGATCGACTCCACTTTCTGTGACATTCCGGATCCAGTTTCAAAACGGCCAACAGTTCAACATTTCCCCCAATTTTTCTCCCTCATAAATGGCCTCCAGTTTTTAGCCAGCAGAGTTTCTGTTCATGTGTATGGCAAAAAGTCTTTAATAATGCAAAGCTTTTTGCTCTAGATGTAACTTACATCTAGAGAATGTAAATTCAAACAAGCCTGTTCTGTCAAACAGAACTGTTTGACAGCCCGTCAAAATGATTTTAAATATAGATAGGCTTCATTAATTTATTTAGCCTCTGTTGTAGAAAATGTTAGGAACATTATTTAGGTGAACTCTCCCCTCAATTTAGTTGAGTTTAACTCAACTCAATTTGATTTGATTGAATTTATTTGTTTATATAAAATGTAAAAGTTTTAGCATGCAGTGGGGTGCATGCATTTTTCTTATTTTATTTAATTTCATTTTTATTATGATTTTTTTGCCAAAGCTTGTGTTAAAAAGCACATTTAACGATAGCTGCATTCTGGTGAGAATGCATCAGCTTGTGCACAACAGGAAATCAATAGCAACTGTTCATTTTAAGACAGTCTCTTCCTGAAGAACAGTTAGCTGGCAGGAGGTAAGTCCTGGCAGATATTTGAGTCAAATATATGTCTGCAGGAGAACTGGGGCCACAACTCATTACCTCTCCCTGTTTTGAAATAGACAGGCCATCCTCTGACGCAAACATGAATCCTCCATACCCAAAATAAAGCCATCCCAAAGCGCATCACCTGCAGGCAGGTGCTCAGCAACAGAAACCAAAGCCTGGAGCCACGGAGGCTGTTTATTATCCTCTCCAAATAAAAAGAGGTCAAAGACAGAGTCTGGAGCTGAAGGAAAAGACTGCTGTGTAGAAATGAAAATGCAAGCCAAAAACAGCGAGAAAACGCCTTATTCCACAAAACAACTTCAAATGCCATGGACTCCTCTGAATTTTTAAGCAACACCCAGAGCTTTCTGTCTGAATCTAGGCAAATGACAAGCACACAGAGAGCGAAATGCATAGACTGTAGCTCGCCCGTCTTAAATATCTTTTCAGTCCAATGCTCTCCTTCCACATCCAGACATAGGAGTATTCATTCTGGGGATTGGCTGCCCACGCAGCGCCTCGCCTGTCAATTGATCAGGGCCTGACTCCAGCTTAGTGTGTCCTCAAAACCTCAAATGAGGCGCAGAACAAATGCATTCATCTTCATCTGAGGATCGTGAGATAAAGTTTCAAAGCTCTTTCTTCATTTCAGCTGCAGTGGAGGTTAGTCTTTTATTGCTTGGTAATGGTACCAGAAATAAACGTTATATGTATTTAACTTTTCATGAGTACCAACCTATATGTTGAGCGTTATTGAAATAGACATGAACATCCCATTAAAATATTTATCTTCCAATCCATTCCAGTCTAAATCATTAAATGTATGCATGTTTTTTTCTGTTTGGTGTCTGTAATTTACTGAAAAATAAATGTGTTAAAATCAAATCTTTCTGTTTCTCTTTTCCATCCTTCCTTTCTTTTCCTTCCTTCCTTTCTTCCTTTCTTTGAACTACCTGCAGTCCAGATTTTTGTGGCCATCCAGACTTCAAAGAATTTGACACAGTAGGTTTTAATGGGAGCGTTTCAAATTCATTAAAGAGGTACATGTTTTTGAAATGTGCTAATCAGAAATCATCCAGTTGGTATAATAGAGCCTGAGAAACCAGATGTTTTTATATATTTTTTTAATCTGATTTGTGGTCGCTTTTCTTATGTCCTCGTTATCACAGAAGCTCTTTAATGTGTCGCTTCCCAAAGTATTTTCTTTTTTTACTTTCATGCAATGTTTAATTCAAACCTTTGACCATTAACACTGTTGTGTCTTTTACGTTTTACTTTGATTCAAGCTGAGGCATGAAAACTCAATGCCCCCAATATTTCAGAAAGCCGTGTTTTTCTGTTCTGCTGGTTTACTCTGATAAATCACCGCTCCACCGCAGGCCTCAGAATCCTCAGTGAAAACAGAGCAAACCTTTGAGGCTGTGACCTGCATGACTTTGGAGACGTTTGTATGCTGTGTAACAGTAACAGTCAATAGCGAAGAGAAAAACAGCCTGCTTTGATGGGGGAATCCTGGATGTATTCTGGCCACTGTAACTTATTAAGCTGTTGCTCATGCCCATTTATCAAAATCAATCAGGGGGCAGTTGGGCCGAAAGAGCAATTTAGAGCACTGCAGAAATATGCTATTGCTGAGTCTGTAATAGGCTTGAGGGGGATTATATAAGGATGTATTGGACCTTGGGATACAGATTGTATAGAAGTGTAATTAATCATTTACCACTTCAAAATCCATACGTGTTTTTTAACCAGATGAGGTACTGTTGACATACAGGCACTGCTTTGTAAATGAAAATATAACTTCTCCTTTTTTTAATAACCAGTGCTATGAATGACAGCGTGAAACTTTCAGTAACCTGCTATAAGATAAGGAAAAAAATCACTTGGACCACGATAACAGCAACATTCTGCAGGTACTATATAATGGCATCTGTTTGCTGCAGGGCGACTTCAGATCCCAACACTATTGATTATGAGCAACACCAGATGCCAGAGTTGGATGAGCGATGAGCACTGAGAGGATGAAACTGATGAGAGAGCCACGAGGTGGTTGTTTGTCTTTTGGCAAGGGAATTGAGTCAAAACTCACAACCTTCAAAATCCATCAGCTTCTGGCCATTCTGCAGAAAACAGGTTTATTAAGACACATAAGACAACCTGACACTTTATATCCCAACATGCTTTAAAATGACAACACCTGCATTTGTTGCCCAGTCAAAGTCACTGGAATGACAAATGAAGAGGTTCTTTGAATTGATCTTTGGTATATAAGTTTAAAAAAAATGAATATCATCCTTCCATTGACTATTCCCACTTATCCTTGGAGGGGCCACATCTTGTGGGAGAAAGCCTATCCTGAGCCCAGGTAAGAGACTTCTGACATTGTCTGTGGCTCTGGAGTGGTTTAACACAAAGAAGGCTTTAGCACACGTCCTTGATATGTCAGAGTATGGGGCATCTTGAAGATCTTGAATCCTTCTAAATCCCCTTTAGGGTGCAGTTATCCTTGTTGCTTAGAGGCTCTGTTTTCTCCCACGGTTTTTCCTTCCACTCAATTTTTCATTAAACTTATAGAACAAGGCACTATTTAAACAACCAGTTTATTTATTAACTTTTTGTGTAACAGACTTGAGTCCAGGTTTTAATAGTCACCTGTCATCCCCATGATTATGTGTGGGTCATTATGTAACATTTCTGATTTTAAAACCCTTGCTATTGATCTGTTGTAATAGTGTAATTTTCTAGTTACCTACATTTTGGATTTTTTTATTAGCTACAGTCATATACAATAAATTAAAATATGTGTTAGTTAAAGGTACTTCTAAAAAAAATCTGTAAACAGTCTTATGCAATCTTTGTATTAATGTCAAATCTTTCTTCTTATTGGTCTGACTTAATACTCTAATCTTAAATGTTGTGTTTTTCTAAAAGTGGAGAATCTTCATGGGTAGCAGAAATACAAGCTTAAAATTTAAATGGTTCAATATTTTTCACTTAATAAATAGCTGCTGAAATAAGTTAACTTTTTAACAATATTCAAACTTATTGATTGAACCTGTGTAAATCACATTCATCAAAATTAACACAAATAATTAATGCTTGAAATATATCACTTTGCAGGAAAATTGAGTTTTACATTTTGAAATGAATTAGTCAAAAAAATATAATAATTTAAAAAATGTAATCTGATAAAAACAAAAAGATCTAATTTGATTTAAATGCAACAGGTCTGACTGAGCATTTTTCGGTGTTTTCCAGTCAGGTCTGCAGACACCCCCTGCAGTAAAAAGCGAACGATTCCAGCAGAAACATGCAGCAGCGGCTGGGATGGTGATCCTCAGATCTTCAGGACTTGGGCAATGTTCTGCCCCACTTACATGTGGGAGCTTTGTCAATTCAGAAAAAAAAACAAAAAACAGAAAGAAGCCTCACAATAAAGCCAATGCTTTGTTGCTGTGGATAGCAAAGTCTTTCCTGTGTCTGCATTGCTGTTCTTGGATTTGCAACCAAAGTCCCTGCAGCTACATCAAGTTTAGAAATGAAATTTCTTTGCTGCCCAGCACCAGCAGAGGGGGGTGTACTCAAGTCATGAAAAGCAAGAGAAGGTGTCAGCCATGACTGCTGGACCCTTTGATGCTTCACAGCAGCCACGCCCTGATATGAAGCATGGCACAATAAAAACAGACTAAATGTAATACTGACTCAAGGACAGAAAATGGTGGGAGCCTGATGGACATGTCATACATACTTTGAAACATTGT